CCCAGGCATGTGCCCTTGCTGGGAATCAAACCTTGATCTCCTGGATCATAGGTTGATGCTCAACTGCTGAGCCACACCAGCCAGGCTGCAGGCAACCATCTTACCCACACTTCCCCTCTACTCCTGTCTGTGCCATTGGGAATGGCCGTCATAGCACAAACACTGCTAATGTGCTAAACCCCAACACTAAAGGTTCTGCCTCCACTTTCAGCCTTAACTTAGCCATGCTTTTTCTAAGGATTTCTATTCCCCTATACTCCTCTAGAGATGATGTTGCTCATTTCCCATGGATCCCTGAAAAAGGTTGATGTTTCTTGTTGCCTACACATTTCTATACCCCCTCCTCACATAAAAGTCCTTCAGTGACAGCTATGCCTATGCTTATACCCCTTCCTACACTTTAACTTGCTTTACTTAACTTGCTTATCTTGCTATCCTGTAACTTGCTGAAAACTCATTCCAGAATAAAGTTTTGAGAAAATTCGTCCATCTATTTTGTGTGTATGTGCTTTTTAAAAAGAAGTTTGCATTTCAGGTAGATTTGCTCAAACTTATGCTGGTAATTTTAAGGACTTGTGTATCTAAGCTTATTTTCACAGAATGTGCTGTTTCAGCTAAGTTTACTGATTTCCAGGTTGTGGGTTGGATTATTTCTCCAAAAAGATAGGTTTAAGTCCTAACCCTGGTACCTGTGAATGAGACTTTATTGGAAACAGGGTCTTGGCAGATGTAATGAAGTTGAAATGAGATCACACTGAACTAGGGTAGGCCCTAAACCCAATAGCTTGCATCCTTACAGAGAGGGAGGTTTGGAGACACATACATAGAGGAGACAAAGGGTAGAAGGCCATGGGGTGGTGATGCAACTAAAAGCCAAGAAATGGGCCACAAAAATTGTATGAGGCAAGGAAAGATTCTTCCCTAGAGCCTTGGGAGTGATCACGGCCCTGATCACACCTGTGGGTTTTGGACTTCTAGCCTCCAGAACTGTGAGAGAAAAGAAAAATACCCAGCTTGGTGGCTTAACAAAATACTTAAGTTTTGTGGTATTTTACCATGGCAGCCCCAGGAAACTGAGAATTTCAACACTAGTTTTTTAATTTTCTACTTCCTTTATCATTATCTGCATAGAAAACTTAACCAATTGGCTGCTTCTCCTCTTCTCATATATATTTTTTCACAGTGGTAGAGAACAGTAATGAATAAAAACGTATTGTGTATTATAAACTTAAGTTTAAAGGGAAAGTATATATCTTTCATTTATGTAATCAGATTTGAAAGCTTAAATATATCAGATTATTCCAGAGATCCCAAGTTGGTCAAACAGAAATTCTACAAGAAATGCAATATAGAATTTTGTTGTTCACTTTTATTTCACAATATATCTACATTTTTAAAAGAAAAAACATAGAAAAAAATTCATAATCCTACCTATTCAGAAGTTCCTATCATACCCTAGGACACTCATTTATTGCACTGTAAAAACATGTAAGGGCAGTGGAAAAAGTGACTTGAGGGTAAAATGTGTCCCCCCTGTAACCTTCCCACCCCATTATTCATGCCTCTTGGCACTCCCGAGTTGAGACGCAGAGAACAAGAGGTTTCTCCTTTAAGGCATTTCAGGTGAAAGGGTTCTCAACTTACACACAGCCCTGTGAGGCCAGCCCGAATGGTTATCCATAATTGGCGAGAGTCCTGAAGAAAGAGCTAGGTCAAGGCCATGACACAATTTGGGACTCAGTTCTCATCTTTTCCAAAGAACTCCATCTCCCACTTTTTAGGTACCCAAGCATAAGAAATTTAAAACTGATAGAAATGAATTCACCTTGAATTGGCTTGGCCGCAGTTTTAAAATATCTGGTAAATTTGTCAATTTATTTTTAATTTTTGCTTTGTGAATATTCTCAGGCTGTATTATTTAGAAACATATAGATCAGAGTCATTACATCTTCCCAGTGAATTGAAATTTTTACTATTCGCTAGTGACTTTAACTCTAGCAGTGCGTTTGCCTTAAAGACTATTTTGTCTGGTACTTAAACACAACAGCTTTCTCTTGGGTACAATTTGCCTAGTATATCTTCAGTATTTTTTCACGTGAGACCTTATCTTTTAAGATGTATCCCTTGTAAACAGCCTATAGGTACTTTAAAAATAAAACTCCCATTTCACAATCTTTTAACTGAATAGTTGAGTCCATTTCCATTTATTGGGATTAATGATGTACTTAGACTTATTTCTATCATGTTGTTTCTACTTACGTTTTTTGTTTTATTTCCGGCCTTTCCTTGTTTTTTTTTCTCACTCCCATTTTCTTCTACCTGCCATCCGTCCCTCCCTTCCTCTCTTAGTGGCTGCCCTGGTTATTTTAACATGCGTTGTACACTTAAGTCAATTTTATCTGTCAATTGCCTGAAATAAAAGGACCTTAGCATGCTTTAATCCAGCGATTTTTCAACCTTTTCCATTTCATGGAACACATAATTACTAAAATTCTGCAGCACACCAAAATAAATTTTTTCTGATCTGAAAAAAAAAAGGCATAATCGCCTGCTGGTGTGACTCATCGGTTGAGCATCGACCTATGATCCAGATCAAGGTTCAATTCCCATTCAGGGCACAGGCCTGGGTCATGGGCTCGATCCCCAGCAGAGGGTGTGGAGGCAGCCGATCAATGACTCCATTGGTTTCTCTCTCTCCTTTCCTCTCTCTGAAATCAGTATTTTAAAAAATAGGCATAATTTTGATTCACTCATACCAGACAGCTACTGTTGGCTGTTGTCATTTTTTTATTGAAAATCTAAGGGAAAAGTGGTGTCCCTGACTAGATATTGCATGTTTTAAAAAATTCTTGTGGCACACCAAGTGTGCCCCTTGCGGAAGACAGGTTGAAAATTGCTGCTTTAACCCAGTAACTCCCAAGTTTCTCAAAATTTTAGCTCTTTTAACTCCACAAAATAGACATCACTGTTTTATAGATATTATCCCTCTAATCAAAACATTTATATGAAAAGTTCTTTTGCATATTTAACCCTTGTTATATTTTAGTCTGGTCACATTTTTTCCTGTTTTACATGTCAACCTATTTTCTACAAGATTCCTGATATAACCCTAGTCATTTTGGCTCAGTGGTCAGACCATTGGCCCTCGGAATGGTCACGGGTTCGATTCCAGTCAAGGGCATGTACCTCAGTTGCAGGCTCCATCCCCAGCCTGGTTGGGGCACGTGCCAGAAGCAACCAATCGATGTCTCTCTCTCACAAAGATGCTTCTACCTCTGTCTCTCCCCTTCCCTTCCACTCCAAAAAAATCCAAGGGAAAAAATACCCTCAGGTGAGGATTAACAACAAAGATTCTGGATATAGCATTGCCAGGAATTCCCTGGCTCCATACACTAATATTAACCCAGCTAATGCAGACATGCCCTATAAAGTTCACTCCTCCAACTATCTTTATCTTATAAACCTTGACTGACAATTTAGGTGTCCAACATTCAAGTCACTAATATCTACATTCTATCAGTTAGAATGGAGTACGGTAGATGTACTTAAAGGGTTCAGATCATCTGCCTTCTGGAATGCTGAGTAAAATAATTCTGAATTTCAGATTCAACTTTCCTCTATAAGCCAACACAACCAGTTTTGCTGAGCAGGGGAAGGGGGCCCTAGGTCATTGCCCATAAATACATATTAAGATATTCCCTGGTTTTGTCTTCAGTGACACGATTTATTCTGTTGACTTCAAAGCTGCACAAAGAGCAGAGTTCAGAGCTAAGTAAAGCATAAGAGATTAAGGAGAAGGTAGTTTAGGAAAATGCATCTTTTGACTAAAATCTATTATGTTTTTCCTGTGGGTGATAAATGCAGCTAATTTTTAAATGGGATACAAATATCTGGTGCAATTTCTTAGTAGGTTATTTTATAATATCTTTTTAAAAGGGGGTGGGGGACTCCACATTACAAAGGACTAAGTTTCATTTAGATAACTAAGTATATAATTCATGGTCATTCCTTCATAAAGGCTAACAACAAAAAATACAAGTGCTGTGGCATTTAACAAGTTTAACAGTCTTTTTTAAAGCAGTTTTTGAAATCAGCCTCAAAGGCTGTATTGCTGTTTACCGTTAAGAAAACCTTTAATAACATTATTTACACTTAAATATAGACCAAAGAGAAACCACCTTAAGGAAGGATTGGTTTACACAATAGAATTCTGCTCAGGGTCTGGACTGCTTTTTTCATATCCATCCCATCCTCTACACCTTTGTAAAAGAAACAAACAGTAACTTACTTGATGGGGGGAATTCCCTTCACAAGGCATATGTGTATCAAATCGGCACACATGTAGTACACTTTAAATTATTTTGCAATTTTGTCAGTTACATCTCAATAAAGCTGGGGAGGAAACCAAAAGAGGGTTTGTCAAAGTACTGGGAGGAATGCAAGTCTGCAGGTAATAATTAAGATCCAGGTGTTAGCAGTTAACTCAAACTGTGGAAGTTGTGGGCAGTTAAATGGTTTTCTTTTTAAAAATAAAACGATCAAAAACTTTTATTTTTAATGGATATAAACTGTTCCCACAGAAATCTGCAGGTCAGTAAACTTGACATTCCAAAAAGTTTATCTAAATAGACAAGTTAGCCAGGCCTGGCATGGCTCAGTGATTGAGCATCGACCCATGAACCAGGGGATCACAGTTCAATTCCCAATTAGGGAACATGTCCAGGTTGCAGGCTCAATCCCCAGCAGGGGGCGTGCGGAAGGCAGCTGATCAGTGAGTGACTTTTTATCATTGGTGTCTCTCTCTTTCTCCCTTCCTCTTCCTGAAATCAATAAAAACATATTTTTTATTAAAAATAATAAATTATATTGTTTGTGCATGTATCCTTATTTAACTAAAAGTTCTCATAATTTTCTAAGCTTAAATGATATGTTGCAAAATGTTAGAAACATGTAGACCAACCATACAGTATACACTAACATGTATAAATAAATGAAACTGATTTGGATTTTGCTATCATTTTTAATTTTAATAAAATAGATAATTTCATACTACATAGAGAACAAGTCCATCCACTCATCATTGATAAAATTTTAGAAATATTTTCTATAAAAAGTTTAGCATTTGATTGGGAATAAATCCATTGAAACATGATTTCTATAGGTACAGTGTTCCCATCCTCACCCCATCCTTATTAATTTTGAGAAAATTTAAAAATACAGAAAAATACAAAAAAATAAGACAAGATATCCATATACCACAGTCCAGAACTATCCAGTATTTTGATATATATATTTACTTGCAGTCTCTTTTGTTTTTAAGAGAAATTGATGTTTATATATAAAATAATGAAGTCCCCTTTAACCAACCCTCCACCCCTCCCACACTCATCCCCTCCCCTTTCAACTCTTCTCAGGCAACCACTATCAAGAGTTTGGTCTGTATCCTTCAAATCCACTTCAAAAACATATTAAAAACATACATACGTACATACATATATGTATCTGTTACCAATATATAGTACTGAATTCTGTGAGGGAAGTTTCTATTCAAATTTACAAAAATGTCATGGTATTAGATGTATCATTCTGTAACTTCATTTTTGCCCTCAACATTTTTGATACCTTTCTCTGTAATACATGTAGATCTCATTTGTTACATTTTACAGGTACATAGTATCCCACCACAAGTACTTTCTACTTTATTCCTGATGGACATTTAAATTGTTTCCAATTTATAGCTACTATAAATCATGCCACAGCAAATAGCCTGGTACAAATTTCCTGAGCATACAAACTCAGAGTAGAAAAGTTAGGTATTTTTCATTTATTATAAGGAATGTTTCCCTACTCCCAAGGTCATAACCATTTTAGTATACAGCTTTTTCATATTCCTGTTTTTAATCCCCATGGATCTTACCTTTGTGCATAGTTCATGGTCTTTATTTCCTTCCTTGGAGAAAAAATTATCTCCAAATCACTTTTTAAACAGTCCCATTATCTTCTCACCTCCTGATGCCATGTCTATCCTATTCTAAATTCTAATAAATGCATAGGTATTCCAGAATCTCTTCTGTTCTGCTAAAACAATAGCATGAAAGTATTTTCCTTTCCAATATTTACAACTTATTTTTACTACTACACTGGTGAAGATTTCTAGATCTAGGCAGACAGTAATGAAAACAAGCATGTTTCCCATTCCCAATTTTAGTGGAAACGCATCTAAAGTTTCAGCATTACTTTTGCTGTAGGTTTTTTTGATGGGCACAGGATTTTTGTTTTTCTTTTCAGTATGAATTCTCTGGTGTCCCATAAGTTTTTAGCTTTTGTTTCCTTCATTTGTGACAGTTTCCTTCAGAATGATTACTTCCGATGTGCTTGCTATGAGGTGTAAATCCCTGATGAATGCTTTTCCATTTTCAAGGTATTTACAGCATTTTTAATGAGTATGAATTTTCTGGTGTCTAATGTGGTGTGACTTCTGGCTGAAAGCTTTCCCACATTCACTACATTGATAAGGCTTCTTACCTGTGTGAATTCTCAAATGCAGAGCAAGGGTTGAGAATTGAGAGAAAGCTTTCCCACACTCATTACATCCATAGGGCTTCTCACCTGTATGGCTTCTCGCATGCACAGTAAGAGACGAACTTTGAGAGAAGGCTTTTCCACATACATTGCATTCATAAGGCTTATCACCTGAATGAATTCTCACATGTACAATAAGTGATGTTCGTTGAGAGAAGGCTTTTCCACATTCATTACATTCGTAAGGTTTCTCTCCAGTGTGAATGTTTTGATGTTTTATGAGATACTTCTTCTGACCAAAAGCTGTTCCACATTCACTGCATTTAAAAGGTTTCTCTCCAATGTGAATTTTCTCATGTTCAGTAAGGTTAGATTTGCCACTGAAGGTTTTTCCACACTCCTTACATACAAAGGGTTTCTCGCCTGTGTGAGTTCTCTGGTGTCTGATGAGGTTTGACTTCTGAATGAAAGCTTTCCCACAATCCTTACACTCAAAAGGTTTCTCTCCAGTGTGGATTTTCTGATGGGTAAGAAGGTTTTCCTTCTGGCTGAAGGATTTCCCACATTCGTTACATTCAAAAAGCTTCTCTCCAGTATGGGTGTTCTGATGTTTAATGACATACTGCTTTTGGCTGAAGGCTTTTCCACATTCATTACATTCAAAAGGTTTCTCTCTATTATGAAAATGCTCATGCTCAGTGAGATTTGACTTGTGGCTGAAGACTTTCCCACATACCTTACAAGCAAAGGGGTTTTCCCCACTGCAAATTTTCTGCTGACTGAGGTGTGACATCTGAATGGAAGCTTTCCCACATTCACAAGTTTTCTTTCCAGTATGAATTTCTTGATGAATGAGGACTTACTTTTGGCTGAAGGTATTTCTGCATTTCTTACATTGGTAGGGCTTCTCTGTGTATGACCTTTCAAATGTAAAGTAAGGGATGTTTGAGAAAAAACTTTACCATACTGCGATCAAAGCTTTCTCTCCAAGTATACTCAGTGAACTTTTGTTACATTCATTGGTTTCTCTTCAGTATAAATTTTTTTTTGTTCGATGAGATGTCACCTAGCTAAAGGCTTTTCAATATTTCTTAGAATCACAGGGTTTCTCTCCAACCTGACTTCTGTATTTCATAAGGTATGGCACATGAGTGAGTGGAAGTTTTCCCACATTCAGTAACTTCATAGGGTATGAATCCAATATGAATGTTGTGGTATCTGATGGGGTTCAAACTTTTTTAACTGAAGGTATTTCCACACTGATTTACACTTAAAGAGGGTTATTACCAGAAAAAGCAAGCTGTGGCAGGATTTCCAAATCAATAAAATTGATGATTCATTCCTACACAATGGCCCCCATGATTAAGTCTAAATTGTGTTTCAAATTCTTTCTAGGTTAAGTTAAAAAGAATGTTGCCTTAAAAGATAAAAGTTATGAAATCAGAGGAAGTATTTTTCCAATTTTCTTATATTCACTGCTTTTTTCTTCAGTCTGTACTGCAGATGGATGCAACTTGCCTCCCAAGTCTTGTTGCCTCTCTATCTGCTCATCACCTTCTTAGGCTTCTTCTAAAATGGAGTACAAAGAATCATCATTTAAAGGAATTAATGTATAAAAGGCTTAAAACTGTGGCTGGCACATGGCAAGCACTCAATAAATGTTAGCATCATGTTATTGTCATTATTTATGACTTTACCATTACTAGCAATAAAACTTTAGATTGTGCTTTTCAGGATTAACTCTGTTAGCCCATTTCACAATGTTAAAATAGCCTAATAACCAATGTCTCCAACTAAATTTTGAGAAGAAACCCTTGGAAAGGATATCTGGGTAGAAAATTAACATATATTAGTATACAAAACTTAGATTACTCTTGAAAAATAACCTTTCTCATTTCATAATTCAGCAATGAATGTAAACAATGAGGCATCAATAAATAGGATAAAAAGATGACCACATAAAGTTGAGAAAGTCTACCTGTGATACCTAAGAAAGGGAAAGGAATAACCAACAATTGCTTCCTCCCTAAACTCCATTAAATGACAAAAGGGAAAACAGCCTAAACTCACAAGAAAATGGGATATATTATGATAGAAGACATCAACATACACAGATATTAACAAAATTTTTTATAACATAAAGCAAATGGAAGATTTTCAACACAAAGCTGAGAAGTTCAGATAACGTAAAGGTACTGCAGACAAGGATGCCAAGTTCAAGCAAGCCAATCTGTGCCACAAATCAGAAAAAACACTCAGAAAATGGAGGGAAATCAAGTACCTCAGAACAAGGAATAAAGGATGGTGGATGAAAAAATATATTGTATACGGTGCAGCTGGACCTCTACTCTCCCAGTGAGGAGGACAAAGGACCACTCCTTTATATGAAATGGAAATTATACTTTGCAGATATTTAATCAGAGAAGCTCCAGATTCAGGGGACACCCAGCAAATGAAATGTCATGGAAGAGGTGCTATACTGAAACCAATGACTAAATCTGTATATAATATGGTGAGACCTTCAGCACCATTCTGCAGCTGATGAAAAATAAACAAAAAAATGTTGGCAACCAGGTATATATACACCTAAGGGCAGAATATGAAAGGATCTTTCTCTGGACAAACTGAAAGGGTCATAAAAAAACCTTAGTACAATGCCCCTCCAAGATAATACTTGTTGCTTGTATTCATTTATTTTGCCATAACAAAAGATCTGGCTACATCTAAGTTCTTGAGAATAAAAACAATATAATCCTTCTGTAAGGAGGAAACCCTGGGTCAAGGCATTTTTCTTTTCATCCATTGAAGCCTACCAGAGGATTAGAAGCACCCAGGCACAAAAGAGCTTACCTGTTAGTGAATAATTTTTAAATACGACTGTGTAGCCAATATTCCACATACATTTGAGGAACCCCACAAACATGAAAGATCAACATCAAGAGAAAAAGAAAACTCTAAGGAAATAAAAGGCAAAGGAAACAACAGAACCCTAAAACCAATCACAGTTATGACTATATTTCATCAGTGAAACAAACAGAATTTTTTAAGTGACAAACAGAAAGAAGAAGTCCCCTTAGAAATTAGACTGGAGGGAGAGGGGGAAGGTGAGGTAGGCTGTATTACTATTCATCAATAACAGGGTCTCCTTAATGCAGAAGGATTACACTGTTTCTCACCTAGGGCACTCAGGTATGGTGAGGTACCTTGTTTGGCCAATGAAATTCAAGCACAAGATCATTACTTGGTAGAAGCTTTAAGAAGACAAATTCAGAGGATAAACCAAGGTAATACATAGAACAGCTGAGTAAATTTCTATGATGATGATGAAAAACTATTAAGATAAGAGCTATCAGGTCAGAATACAGCCAACCCAGCCCTGGCCCAGTAGCTTAGTTGGTTGGAGCGTTGTACCGATGGGCCATGGTTGCAGGTTCGATCCTCAGTCAGGGCACATACAGGAATCAACCAATGAGTGCACAGGTGGAACAGATTGATGTCTCTCTCAAATCAATAAATTTAAAAAACAAAAACAAAACCCTCACATTAAATAAAAGACAAAAGAATACAGCTAGCCCAGACTGAAGTAGGACAAAAATTCTAGTAGTAGTATCTTGAAGGGGAAAAAATAGGGAGATTTCCCAATGCATTTGACAATGAAGAAACTAGTACTGAGAGGATTTTTAACTACTCTGAAATTCAAGAGAGTCTGTGCTAAATATAGAAAACCAAGCAAACAAAAAGTGAGGCAAAAATAAATTCCATGGTCCTGGCTGGTGTGGCTCAGAGGTTAGAGCATCCGTCTGCACACCAGAGTCACAGGTTCGATTGCTGGTTAAGGGCACATATCTGGGTTGCAGGTTTGATCCTCAGCCCCAAAAAGGGCATGTATGGGAAGCAGCCGATCAATGTGTCTCTCTCACATTCATGTTTCTCTCTCTCTCCCCCCCATTCCTCCCTCCACTCTTTTTAAAAATCAGTGGATGGGGGTGGAGGGGATCAGTTGGGATAAAGAGGAGACATCTGTAATATTCTCAACAATAAAGACAAAGAAAAGCCAATGGAAAAAATATCCTCTGCTGAGGATTAACTAATAAATTCCATGAAAAGCAAATTATATAAATATGTACATATATACTATATACATGATATATATACACACATAACATGTATAAATAACGTATACATATACACATATATACGTATGTGTTGTATACCTAGGCAAATCTTTCAAGTTGTAAGCTAAACTAGCCACTTTTTCACGGGCACCATTAACTTGCTTTAAATAAATTAATGACTGCCTTAAAGACTGATTGTTCAGATCTGGGTATAGATTGTTAGGGACTATCTTCAGAAAGAACAAAGTAAGACAATCCTTTAAAGGAAAAAACTGACAGTATATGTTGCCAATGATAAAACTTGAGTTTTCAAAAAAAAATTAGAATTTTTGAAAATTGGTATCCTTCACAAGATTGATAGCTTCCAAATTCTTAAAAGACTTTCCTAATGATATTGGTGGTGATGTTAACAAAACATGTTTTGATGTTATATAAGGTATGTCAATATTTAAAAGATCTGCATAACTCAACTGACCACTGCATGATGTTACAAAATCATGCGTGGGTGAGAAATCCATTCAAAGTTTAAGATAGACCAAAAGTTTAAGATATGGATTTCCTGTAAAAGAATGAAAAAATTTGTTATAATTTCAAATTCCACATTGAGGCTAATCTTGAAAAAAAAAAAAAAAAGGCTACTTGTGTTGGAGGAATACCAAAAAATATCCACAATTACACAAAAAGGTTCTTTTAAAATACTTCTCCTTTTTCTAACTACATCTGTATGAAGCCACAATTTTTTTAAATACTTTAACTGAAACAACAGGTTACAACAGCAAAAATAAGATTCCAGCTGTCTTCTATTAAGTCAGTCAGTCAGATATTTACAAATGTGCAAAACAATTTGTCACTCTTCTCACTACCTTTTTTGATTTTGGAAAACTTATTTTTATTAAGAAATGTTAATAGGCGCTGGCCTGGTAGCTCAGTTGATTAAAGCGTTGTGCCAATATGCCAAGGTTACGGGTTTGATCACTAGTCAGGGTACATACAAGAATCAACCAATGGACCGGCCGGGCGTGGCTCAGCGGTTGAGCATCGACCTGGGATCCAGGCGATCGGGGTTCGATTCCTGGTCAGGGCACATGCCCCGGTTGGGGGCTTGATCAATGACTCTCTCATCATTGATGTTTCTATCTCTCTCCCTCTCCCTTCTTCTCTCTGAAGTCAATAAAGATATATTTTTTAAAAAAAAGAATCAACCAATGAATGCATAAATTAGTGAAACAATAAATCAATGTTTCTCTCTCTCTAAAATCAACTAATAAACAAAATTTAAAAATAAGAAATATAATACAAGTTTGCATGTAATGGATTATTTGTGTTATTTTTAAATAAGTTAATAAATGTTTTTAAGATTCTTGATTTTACTTTTAAATAAGGTAAATTATCACTGAAGTCCATATAAACCAGAGGTCTTTGGGGTCCTCAAGTTTTAAGAATATAAAGATTAGCTATGGCTAGGTGGCTCAGTTAGTGGGACTGTTGTCCCGTGCACCAAAAGGTTGTGGGTTCAATTCCCAGTCAGGGTACATACCTAGGTTGCGGTTCAATCCCTGGTCCTGGAGCATACAGGAGGCAACCAATCGATGTTTCTCTCACATGGATGTTTCTCCCTCCCTCCCTTTCTAAAAAGATCAATAAGAACATATCCTCGCATGAGGATTAAAAAAAAAGAAAAAGAAAGAATGTAAAGATTACTGCTAATGGGTACTGGGTTTCTTTTAGTGGTAATAAAAATGTTCTGAAATTTGATGATGGTGATGGCTACACAACTTTGTGAATTGAATATACTACAAACCACTGAATTGTACATCCTAAAAGGATAGACTATGTGATGTGAATTATATCTCAATAAAGCTGTTATTTTTTTAAAAATGTAAAGAGACCAAAAAGTTTGAGAACAACTGCTCAAAACAGTTCTCATTATTCATTCAACAAATACTTTTTTCTCTCCTTAATATGTGCCTGGCACAGTTCTAAGCTCTAGGGATAAACAGAATTGAACAAAACTGACAAAATTCTCTGCCCTCGTTAAGTTTACATTCTAGTGGATAAATAATAAACAAATAAATGATTTGTTTATAAATAAATAACTATGAAAAACAAATAGGGAAGGAGTAGAGTTTCAATTTTAGATACAGTAGCCTATAAGGCAAGATTCAAAACATGAAGGAAGATAAGGATTCTTATAGCTAAGAACATTCTAAGCAGAAATTAAACAAGTTCACAGACCCTGAGGAAGAGCCTGCCAAGCATATTAAGTATGTAATAAAAGAGTAACATTCATGCACACCATGTTCCTGATGTGCTTCTGACCTCTCCTATTCTTTCAATCTATAAGACCTCCTGGAAGCAGCTCCTAAAAAGACTTCACTCTTATCTGTTATTTATAAACATCTTTCCCTGAACTTTTACTTTTCATTTATCTTTATTGTTGAAAGTATTACGGAT